AAAAGAAAAATTGTAGTGGAGTTAACCTTCGAAAATGAGCAAGTCTATAAGATCATTATAATACTTAATTCCTTCTTTGCTTATGCCAGCCGATAATCTTCCCCCTAAAGTACAAATAAAGAAAAATAAAATAAAATTAGATGAAACTTCACCAAATTTTCTTTTTCACAAATGTTGCATGAATTAAGTCATATATGCTTCACGTTCTCTATATATGTATATATATGTACCTGGCAATACTCTTGTCCATGCAATTGAAAATCTATAAGAGTCAACGCCTAGATTCTTTAATAAAGCCACGTCTTCCTGTAGCATTATGAAAATGAATAAATGTTATTCCTTTACCTAGGAATTGTTTTCTACGTTAATTTAAAATGATGCTATAACGATGAAATTATTGAATTACCTTCCACAAATTATATTGATCAATAGCAACACAACCATTAGTTCCACCCTCAATTTTACCTGCAACTTGAAAAACACGCTCAGAAATTGACATGTCAAAAATAAATCCGTAAGTGTATAAAAAGTATAAATATATATATTTGTGTATATGTATGTATGAAGATTGGAGAAAGAAGAGACCAGGTGTTCTCTGTGTGAAGACATCCCAGTTGCTCTGGCCTTTACCACCTGTGGCCCAAGCACCTTCAACCTAAATTACATTGCAAACAAAATAAATCAACCCAATCACAACTAAGTTGCATGCATATTTATTTTTCCTGTTTTGAGCTATAACGTAAAAGTTTATGTGCATGAACGTGTTGATTCATTTATACACATACACACCTGATAAGCAGATGTTGCAGAACCAAAGATAAAATCCTTGGGAAAATCAGATCGCAAGATCTTGTTCTGGCTGTGTATGCCCATCTGGCCACCGCCAGGATGATCTAAAAGTGCTTGTGCATCCCCACCACCATTCATCGAGAGGCTGTTTTGGCTATCCATTACTACAAAATATAAAGGGCCTTAATTTGAAGTAGTGTAACTTGAGTGTTTTGAGAGCGATGTAGTGATATGAAATGGCCAACCAAATGATTCAGGTATTTATAGGGGATTACGAGTAAAATAATTACACAATGCCTGACTG